TCTTAAATATCTTTTTAATTACGTTAAAAATAAATAAATTTTAATTAAAGTTTTTAATTAAAAGATGACAGAGGAAAAGAGAATTTATGATTGTGTAATTGTAGGGAGTGGGCCAGCTTCATATGCGAGCATGATGTACTTAATAGAAAAAGATATTGACAATATTGTTATGTATGCAGGTGATTTTTATGACAGTATAGGTCCAGGTGGACAGCTTACAACAACTACTAATGTGGATAATTATCCAGGCTTTAGAGATGGGATTCAAGGACCTGATTTAATGGATAATATGAATGAAACAGTAGTGAAGAGAAAGAAAGAGGTTTTAGAGGTATTTGTTAAAGATATTAAGAAATTAGACAATAATCTCTTTATGATTAAACCTGAAGAAGGAGAAATAGTTTACTCAAGAACAGTTATAATTGGAACTGGTTCAAGTGCTAAGAAATTGCATGTTGAAGGGACTGATAAGTATTGGCAAAAGGGTATTAGTGCATGTGCTGTCTGTGATGGATTTATATTTAAGGATGGTATTTGTGCAGTTATTGGAGGCGGTGACACTGCAATGGAAGAGATACTTCACTTAAGTGGAATTTGTAAAAAACTTTATTTAATTCATAGAAGGGAAACATTTAGGGCCAGAGCAGATAAATTAGAGGAAGTTAAGAATACAGAAAATATTGAAGTGATTACTAATGCCGAATTAAAAGAATGTAAGGGAGATGATGATTCATTAAAGGAAATAATATTGAAAACCGATAAAGGTGAAATGAAACTTGATGTTGATGGTTTATTCTTTGCAATTGGACACTTACCAAATACGGCATCTATAAAAAATTGTAACGTTAAACTTCATGATAACGGGTATATTAAAACAGACAATTTAATGAGAACTGGTGAAGAAGGTTTGTTTGCATGTGGAGATGTACAGGATTTTGTTTATAGACAAGCTATCGTTGCTAGTGAAAGTGGTATTGTGGCAGCTATTGAGGTCATAAAAACTTTAAATAAATAATTTGTTATTTTTAATAAAACATGTTATTTTTATAAAATTAACAAATAATTTTTAAACGTTTCAAAATGACGTTTTATAAATTACGTTACTGTTTTTAAATTGCTATAACACAGTTACATATTTTAATATAAAACTGTTTTTTATGAAACCTATTATGTTAATTCATATTAGTTATTTATTTATTACGTTAATTAAAAGTTATATTTTAGGATTTGGTAAGAAATTAAAAAATGGTAATTTAGGAGTAGATGGAAATAATAATGTTGTAGTTACTAATGATCCAAATAATTTATTGTCGATAGAAGAAAAGCAATTTGGATCACATGTGTTATTTTTTATCCCTAAAATACAAAAATATTTTACATTAGATAAAAATATTATAAAATTAGATAGGAAACGAAATAATCATCACAATCAAAAATTTAGAATTAGTGAGAATAAAAATAATCAATTTAAAATAAAGATTGGGAGATTTAGTTGTTTAGATTTAGAAGATGGAAAGTTGAAATCTAAAATTTGTGTACCGTTTACTAAATTTAAATTTACAAAGTTTAAGGATAGACCTCTAAATAAGGAAATTGATAAGGAGAAGAACCTACTTAAAAATGATTATATGGAGACTGGAAAAAATAGAGCTAATAATCAATATGACAGTAAAATGGATGATGAAAGACAATCTAGACAAAATATTGAAAAGGGAATGAATAACTTTAAAAATAGAATAGATCAATATGATATGGTTCCAATTGAAAGAATAGATAATAATTTAGATTTAAAGAATTCGTCCTATGATAGTCATTCTTTCCATCCTACACCAAAAAGACATCATCATCATAACAAACATCATCATAATCACCATCTTGGTCATTTACCTAAAGGCTTTAATTTAAAAAGTATGAACTTTTCTTTTGTTGATATGTATCTCAACCCTAAAATAAGAGGTGGGAAACATCATCAAACTAGTAAATATTCTTCATCTAGAAATAAAGCAAACTTAGGTACTCCAAAGAAAAGAGGTAACGGAAAGAAAAAATATGTTTATGGGAGAGGTGATTACAATAAAGATGAATATA